AAACTCAGGGTGTGAGTTATGAATTCAACAGCCAATACTTACGGTCTGAAGGAATGATTGAAGAACAGTTTTCACTGCTACCCGCTTTGCATACATCTGAATAGAGAAACTCTCCGGTCATGGTTTCACCTGGTTCTGTGCGATCTAAAAACAGAAGGTCATGAATCAAATGGACAGTTTAACGTTTTGTTTTGCAAGATTACATCACAGATATTAAGGTAGCTCATCATACCGAGCGTGCAATAACTAGGCAGATTTAGAATAGTGTATTATCCTAGAGTTTAGAAGGGCACAGTACTTTCCGATTTACGCATTCAATGATTTTAAATTCAAACATAAAATCCTTCTTATTTCTATGAATTGAAGACCAAAGTTGTGCATTTATTTTGCGTCAGCTCCCAAGTTGAGAGAGTAACTGAAGTTGTTCCGAAAAATACTATCTTCTAGTGCATGGTGAATTTTCAAGGTGCCTTGAAAACTTGCCTTTCAATGCCTTCCAAGTATCAAACCAAACCTACTGCCACATAGTACTGTGTCTTTGGCATTTCTCCAGCTGCATGGAAACGTGAAACACCAGGGTCAGTGAGGTTTGGGTCTCCCACAGGGTTGGCAGTAAAATTAGAAAAAAATAGTGGGAAAGTCAAATAATACTTGCCTGAATAGCTCAAGTGTCAGAAAAAAACCCAAAGACAGAACAAGACAAAGCCCAAACCTCTCCTCTAAAACATTTTATTTCTGCACTACCTGCCAAGTTAGTTGCTTGATGCCGCAAGGTGGACAAAACCCCAAATTTTAACTTACAATAAGCAATCTAAGGTCAGCACAGAGAAGTCTGCTATGGAGTTTAAACTGTAGCAAGCATTTCAGGGAGGTTAATACAGTCTATAAAAACTATGAGCAAACCAGAGTTAGAGAGAAAAACCTCTACTTCACAGGAGCATGTCTTTGATGCCCTTCCTTTATATTCAGTCTGTTATTTCAGATAAAATATTAATTTTTGTTATGTTGAAACTAAACCCCACCATTAGAAGCCAATATAAGCATTCAATATCTGGCAAACCGAGGCAGAACTGAATTCTCCCAGTGCAGAGCCTTCTCCACGATGGCCTACCTAAAGTCTGCTTGTAATTAAACTGGGGGAGGGAGTAGGTGTAGCTGAATTAGATAATGTCAACTGTTGTAGCAAACAGTGAGGGGAGAAATCTCAACCGTTTGCAGAAGAGGCAAAGTGCTATGTCCTCCCTATCCCTCTTTGGGCTGCAGCAGATTGCAGCGTTTTGTAAAAATACTGAGGTATCCATTCACCCCAATCAGTTTGGGGTGGGTTTTTGTTTTTAATTTTCCATTTAGATAGTGTCTTTGTAAGAAAAAAAATTGTCCAACTGGTGAGGTAATCTGTATGTCTTGCAAAAGGTGGAAGCCACTTGGCATGCCCCAAGGAACAAAAGCCCCACTACTTTCTTCAACACAAACCACTGAAATGAGTTGCCGGTACCTGGCAATAACGTTTCGTTAGGGAGCTTGTCCACTTCCAGGATAAAGTCATCTTTGAAGAAGAGGTACCCCACTATGGAGAACAGGTAGACCAAGATGAGGGCGAGAACAGCAGTCAGGATGATGGAACGCCCATTGCGAGTGACGCTCTTGATGACGTTCAGCAAGGTCTCTTCTCGATACACCAAGTCAAAGAGCTGGGGGACAACAAACAAAAGCAAAGGCTGTTTGTCTTATGTACTACCACTACCACTGGTGGCATGCTACATGTTGGCATACCGTGGGGTGGCATGTTAACAATACCAATCTGATGTTTTAAGGAGCATTTAAAGCACTTTTTTTCCCCAGGTTGCTGGCTATGCTGGTTGACAATGAGAGAACAGGTATTTGATAAATTGGACCTACACGTACACGGAAAATAACCAATTCAGTTACCAGAGGATGTAGCAAGCATCAAACAAAGGGACAAAAATAGAGTGGTCTGAATGGGATTTAAGATTTGCTTTAAAAGTGACACATTTTCCCCACCAAGACTAGATACACTCTTCCAGTGCTTATTCTTCTAAGTACTGTGCTGCACAAGATGAATTCCCAAACAGAAACAACACGCATGCCAGGCATCCGTGTCAGTCGTGTGAGGTCTGGAGCTACAGCTAAGGGGACACTCCGAAGTTAACCAACTGCTCCAATACATGGACGCTACGCTATAGTTATTGACAATAATAGAGTAAACCATCTTAAAGACTGTGTGCCTCTTACTCATAGCATGGGAACTCCGAAAGTGCCTACTGTTCAGCTAACATTTCTATGGCTAGATTTTTCAATGATCCCCCCCCCCGATGTAAGAGCTTGTATGACCTTAAGAATGCTTAAACCCTCACCAGGTATCGATATTACTTGGAGTCATGACATTTTATATTGTTTTATTATGGAAGTCAGAGCAGGGTCACAAGCAATACATCTAACCTAGAAAACCTGTGCCTTAGAAATCAAGGAGTAACACAGAGAGAAATGCTAAAAACCTACACATTTACTGTAATGAGAAATTTTAACTAAATTTAACTTTAAACACATCTTGTATAATATACTTGAGAAGAACAAAAAAGTCTCCACTTGTCTGTACAAATCAGGAAGAGGAGATGTGTCAAGAGTCCCGTAGCCTCCTACCATAACTTCTCCCAAGCAAAATCTCCAGCGTGCAGTTCTCAAAAGAGTGCCTGTACAACAGTTTCGCAGTAAAACAGCAAGTGGTGACACATCTAGATATGCCCGAGATGGGACTCTGCAAACACACAGACAGAAAAACATTCTGAGGGCGAAGCGAATACCTACCAACAAGCTATAAAAGAATTCATGTACGAGGAGCCCCAGGGCGCAGATCAGAAGGTACAGCAGGTGATAAAGAAACTCTACATCCATGATCATTGCCTTGTATCCTCTAGTGAAGGTTCCACAGTTACCCACAAAACTCATCAGAAAAATGATTTTATTACAAACCTAAGGAAAGATTAACCATAAATTAGTTACAACATGTGGCTTTCCGGAAGAAAAAGGCAATTTTTCAAAGCGGGAGATAACTCTGCTCCATGATGGTATCAACAACTGCACTGAATAGCCTGTTACATGACAGCGTTTTACACATCAGTCAAAACCTGCTTTCTGTTGCATTTTCTGCGCAGCTGAGGCAGTGAGCCGAAACTAGAACTGCACGTGTCTAGCAAAACGTGTGCACCGACTCCTGCCTCCAGCTTGCTGTCGAAGGGCATCAAGACTAAGATTTAAAGAAGAAAGTAAAAACGCTCCCCGGTGTGAGAGGTAAACCTTCCTAACCTCCTCCCGGTTCCAAGCACGGCACTTTCTGCAGTCGGTAACTCTCTAGCCTACAGCAACCCTTACATCTCCGAAACACACCCTATTGCTCGCTAATAAGCGAGCGCTCCAGATTCCCTCAGCAATTCACTCTCGGATCATGCACCCAGTAATCCTCCTGTGTTAGCACCAGCCATCAACACCAGCAGGAAAGCTGCCTTCAACTCACCAGGAACCTGCTAAACGCTACAATTACCAGTAACAACACCCACCCTCGCAACGCACCTCTGGCTCCGTAGTACACGGCACTCAGTGACGTATTTAGAAGACAAGGAGCACTACTAAATGATGCACTTGAAAGCTGGGCACTTCATAATGAAGACGAGGACTTTGAGAAGACGTGTCTTTGCACAGCCTCTGCTGACTCAGTCAGAGAGAAACACTTTTGGCTTACTTGCCACAAGAGACCACAAGTATCTGGGTTTGAGCGTTAATGAAGTTCTCTGGTGGCTCAGCTTACATGCTCAGTCCACACATTGCCGTAGCAAAACTGCTTAGTGTCAGCTTTTGGCTGGCAGGTAGATGCAGACAGACGTTTGGGAAATGCATTGTTTAGTGAATCTTGCACAACCCCGAAAACGCGGTGGCTTAGTCACTGAACGGGAGACAGGTTTGAGCGAATAACCATGTAGTTTAGGGTCACAGAGACGTCTTTGCTTTTATGGCTGGAGTGGGAGCTGTTTCTAGACTGGCAAAACTGAGCGAAACCTTGTCTCCAGCCTGGGGAACCGGCACTAAATGAACAGCAGCAAAGCGCTTCTGCTAGAAACAGTCCAAAGACGGAATTACTCCTCCCACCAGTTCCACCACAATGTCCCAGGCTATTTTTGCCTGACATGCTCACGAGCAGGTAAGAAACCCTTACATAAGATGCAAGAGGCCTTCAAGAAAAGCCCACTCAATACTTACGTTGAATGCACCCAGAAGAAATAAAGTAGGCTGTAAACCAACTGAAAATATTAGTCGTAATATTGTAGAAGCGATTAAGGCTCGGATGCCATGGGGCTTCGGCAGAGCTATAACGATAGCCAGAGATAACAGCATGGCTGTCCACAGCAAGCCTGACAAGTGGGGCTCCAGGGTACCTAGGGTGAAGAGGAAAAACCAAACCCATGTCAATACCTCATATAACCGAACAAAACCAAACCAAAATAACCAAATAAACGCCATTTTATCTTATCTTTGGCGGAGTACCATGACGCCCGATGTTCAGACAGTACCGATTTCAAAGCCCTAAGTGGAACATCTGAGCCCAATGCCTTCAGCAGATTTTAATTACAAACTGGTTACTAAAGCATTATGTAAATGATAAGCGCCAGTATTATAGGATTCTTCATTTTAGTGTTCATTACTTATACACCTTGAACGCTGAAAAGGAGAGGCATTTTGCTAACGCGTTCCGTAGAGGCACTGAATGGGCAGGTGAGGACAGACGACACGCTCCGCCAGCTCCAGATTCACAGCAGATTCTCCTATTATGCTTTTGGTCAAAAGCCTTGTACCAGTTTCTGTCATCTCGTGCTATTTCTGGTTCTATTTAGACTGTCCCATGAGACTGTCTGCTTACATAACATCAGCCTGGGTTGCTAAAAATACACTTCTCTGAAAGAGCCATAAAAAAAATACTCGGCTGAAAATACCGTTTATCCTGGGTTTATGCAGAATATAAAAGACATCTTTTTCTTAAAGACCTGGGCAGCATTATTTAAGTATCAGGGAAAATTTTAAAAAAAAAAAAAAAAAAAAAAGTTTTCTTCAAGGAACTGGTACCTCAACAGACAAAAAGGCGAGAGCCCTGCAATTTCAGAGCGCCCTGCAGCCCTTCTGCAGGAACGTGCTCAGAGCACCGTTCTGGCTTATTGGCGAGATACTCACTGAGGGCTTTTTTCTCCTCCCCCCCGCCCAAACTCAGAAGGCTTAGGAAATATTACTCTCATCTGACTACCACGAGCAGCCATTTAATTTTGTTCCAAATCACTGTAGATTAATAAAGACAGCAGAGGATAGATGGAAATTAAAACTTAATAAGCGTAAAGTTGAACAGATGTTTCCGCTGTCTGAAGGGAGTTTGGGATCCCAGAGCAACGCAGCCACCGCTACTCGAGCTGTCAAACAGCAAAAGGTTGCAGAGCCTGGATAGAGTCACCCGAGTGGGAATGATAAACAGCACGGAGAGGGGAGAGAGGGAAAAAAAAACCTGCAGAAGCTCATTTAGGAATGGCTTGGGAATTGCTGTGAGAGGCAGATCCTGAAGGATCCTGCCGGCGCCTGCACAGGTGTCTGAACATCCCAGCTATTAGAGAGCCATCCACGGCACATGAATATATTTGCTTTCACAAGTTTCGGCAGTTCCCAGCAGGCCTGCAACAATAACTAGAGTTAATGAAGTCCTCAGCTGTTGCCTGTAAGGCCCACCTTGGAAAGGCCCGACGCCATCGGCACGAGGAGCGCAGTGCCGTGACAAAGACCTTGGTGGGACCCGCGTTGGGCGAGCGCCGG